AAAATTAAAATAAATTTAATTTTTTTTAAAAAATTAAAATAAATTTATTAAAAATAAATAAAGAGAGTAATAGTTTAAAATTTTTCTTTTTATATTCTCCTAACCCTATATTTTTCTTTGTTCAGGAAAGATCTAGATACAAATTACAAAGGCTGATGCTTTCTTAATAAAGCAAAATATCGTTCACCAAAAAAACCTAAAAAAAAAAAAAGGGGCAAACAAAATATCTGGTGTGGAATCTGGATAAGATTAGCGCCGCTACGCATGCCACTACGTCAGCGAGAAACATCATGTAGCAGGACTCAAGTCCCAAATCCCTTTGGCTTCTGCTGGACTAGTATAATATAAGTAAAAGGCGCACCCTTGACGTAAGGGCTTACATAGTTACATGACAACATTCATTACAACATTCATTACGTGTATTTTGTTCCAGAGTCGTACTATCCGCTTGATGATGGAATGATTATTAATATTAAACGGCCTACTTCATGAGTAGTAGGTAAAATTCGTCTACTTTTTTGATTTTATCCTGATTTGGGTAAAATTCGTCTATTATAGGCAAAGGGTGCAGATCAGCCCCTAAACTCAACAACTGGTGGCAAATCACCCCCTCAACCCACTTCACGCGCAAATCAGCCCCTCAACTCCCTTGCAATGACAAATCAGCCATTCTCTTCACATTTCTGTTAACATTTAACATTCCGTTCATCAGCCCTTCCTTCGTGTCTGATGTGGCCATTTTTTGGCTGAAATGGATGTTGAGGTGGAGGCACATCTGGACAAATCACTTAAAATTAGCAGATTAGACCAAAATTCTTGGCGGGATGGCGGATGGTTTGCAAAACCCCTGAGGCGCGAGAAATTGGGACTTTTTCTGGGGTTAACAAAAAGATTATAAGTTTGATTTACAAGGTAAAACTGTAAAGACCCAGAGAAAGTACACAGACACATGCTTTTGAAGAATTCTTTGAAAGATTCTGAAAATCACAGCTTTTGAAGGCAATCGGTGTGGATGTTGAAGCATTGATCTTGTTGTTACTTTGGCAAATCTCAATATTTTGTCATGGTAAGAATCACTTTATGGAATATTATGGAATATTTACATGGATTTGCTTTGAAAAGTGGATAATCCCGTGTTGTCATTGATCCATGGTTAAACAATTTAAAAGTGTATTCTTTTTGACATTTACAATGCCATGTTTGTTGTGTGGTCCCAAGCTTCTTGTTTATTTTGAACATGCTGCTTAAATTATGTGTTTCCACATGCTTCTTGTTTTTTTTTTTTTTTTTCATTTGTCTTTACTTTACATGTTTGTACAATTTTTATACCTACAGGCTGAATATACCAGAGTGATGACCATTTATCATGGGGGAACTTTTGAGCCTAGCCCACCCATTGATTATGTTGGTTGTAAGTTGTCTTCATTTGGTGTGCATGAAGAAAAAGTTTCGGTGGCTGAAATAATTAGTATGGTGCATGGGTTAGGATATGAAAATGTTTTTGCCAATTCCATCTATTACAAGTCCCCTCTTCTTAAATTAGAAGAATTGAAGTCACTTATCCATCCAGATTGCATTGATGACATTGTTAGTATTATTTGGAAGACTTGTGAAGTAGAGTTATATGTTGACCATGACAGTGGAGGTCAAAATTCTGTTGATAAGTTGGTTGGTGATGTGCATGGATTTGGTAAAGGTATTAATGAAATAATAAATGAAGATGTGGGGGCCATTACCCAAGATGCCAATGAAATTCCTGCACCTATAAAACACCATTATGATTTTGCAGCTCATGCATATACTGATGACTCTACTAATGACTCTATTAATGACTTTATTGATGAAGAAAAAGAAAGTGAGTCAGAGTTGGAAGATGATTTTGCTAGTCCTGTTGGAACTGATAAAGATGATGAGGAATGTGTTGCTATTTTTAATAAAGCTAAATCATTATTAATAAGTACAAGGGCTGTAAATCTAGTTGAGTATAGAGGTGAAAAGCAAACTGTTATTGAGGAGCATGGAGAAGGTGAGGAGCAACAAGTGGGAACCGGAGCAACTTCTAATCATTCTATTGATGCATTAACTTTTAATCCCTCTACAGAAGCAGCAACTTCCAATATTTCTAATGTTGATAAGGAAAGGGCAAGGAAGGAAAGAGCAGCTGCACTTAGTAGGAGGTACAAGACTCTTAATATTGCTAAGGTTGCTGTTAAGGGTCCAGCTACCTCTACTTTCACTAGCCATGTGTTGCAATCTCAATTACCTATTGATAATCATCAATATTCTGACGAGGAAGATAAAGACAATGAAGGGAGAAATAGTGATGATCCAGGCTGCTTGTACTTGGATCCCTCTTCTGAAGAGGAAGATGAATTTAATGTGGCAATTGACTTACCTCCAATGGGACCAACTGCTATTTACTTCAATCCAGAGTGGGAAGTTCCTTGGTTTGAAGTAGGAATGAGATTTACAAATGCAAACCAGTTTAAGGATGCCATTAGAAAGTATTCAATTATGAAAAGGTGTAAGCTGAAGCCTATAAAAAATGAGCCTCGCAGATTGAGATACCGCTGTACAGGTGTAGGTTGTGACTGGGAAATTTTTGCATCAATGGACAATAAAGCTAATTGCATTCTGGTGAAGACATACAAAATAGAGCATGGCTGTTCCCAGACAAGTAAAATTTTTGCCATGACAATGCATGAACTTGCAAAGTATTGGAAAAGAAGGATTCGGGAAACTCCTTTCATAGCATGCAAGTTTATGATGGAACAAACATATGCAGAGTTAAGGGTGGCTGTGCATTTTGACAAGTGTGTGAGGGCAAAAAGAATGGTCATGAAAAAGCTACAAGGCAATTTTAAAGATGAGTATGCCATGCTACCTAGTTATGGGGCTTACTTGTCAAGCCTAAATCCTGGTAACACAATTGAAATTGTTAAGGATATGAATGAAAATGGTGAATGTGTCTTCGAAAGAATTTATGTTTGTTTAGGGGTTGTGAAAGAAGGTTGGAAAAATGGATGTAGATATGTGTTAGAGGTGGATGGCTGTTTTTTGAAAGGAGTTTGCAAAGGTGTGCTGTTATCTGTTGTTGGCCGGGATGGAAACAATCAAATGTACCCTGTGGCTTGGGCCATTGTTGAGGGAGAAAACATGGATTCATGGGAGTGGTTTTTCTGGTTATTAAGGACAGATTTGGATTTAGATAGTGGTAAAAACTTTACCTTAATATCTGATGAACATGTGGTAAGTTTTGAGCCTACACTTAAAGCAAACTGTTTTTCTTCTTTTGAAAACTTGATAAAGTGTTAATCATATTTCTTTCTTTTTTTAGGGAATTAAACATGCTCGAGATGCTGTATTTCCTGATTCAGAGCATAGGTATTGTGCTCGTCATATTTATTGCAATTTGGCTAAGAGAAGTAATGTTCATAAGACTGATGAGTTCAAAATTGCATTTTGGAACTGTGCAAAATCGACATTTCCAGAAATCTGGAGAGAGAATATGGTGAAACTAAGGGTAGTTTCAGATGAAGGTTATGCTTAATTAATGGAAAAGGATGGTAAGTTCTGGTGTAGAGCATTTTTTCAAAGTCATTCAAAGTGTGATTCTGTAGACAATAACATGTCAGAACATTTAACTCATGGATTCTTAAACCACAATGTAAAGCACCAATTAGCATGATTAGGGAGATCATAGAGATGTGCACTGAACGACGTAGGGATAAAAAGTTCAGTGCATCTAGATGGCCTACTGATGTTTCCCCTAGAGCTCGAGATAGACTTAAACTTCATATGGATCTTTCCCATGCATGTGGTGTGTTATGGCCTGGAGAAACTGATTTTCATATTTATGATGGGCTGCAGTCATTCACTCAAGTAGTTAATTTTCAAGAAAGAACATGCACATGTAGAGTTTGGTAAAGCACTGGTGTTCCTTGCCCACATGCCTTGCGTGCCATTAATTATCAAGAGTGGAATCTGGATGACTTTATTGATGTTAGTTTAAAGAGGGAAAAGTACCTGGCAGCTTATGGCTAGCCATTAAAATGCAGTAGAGGTGAGGAAGTGTGGAGGCAGTTTGATGGAGAAAAGTTGCTCCCACCTATTATAAAGAGCATGCCCGGTAGGCCAAAAAAGAATAGGAGAAAGGCAAGGTTTGAGCCTAAGAAGATTAAAAAGGGAAAGAAGACCATAATTTCAAAGAAAGGAACAATTGTAATACATTGCAAGATTTGTGGGTGAGAAGACCATAATAAGAAAGGATGTCCAGTGAGGAATAAAGACGAATATGCACAATTTGTTAAGGAAAGTCAAGGGACAAGTAGTACAACGTTTAGCTTTACCAATGCTAAGAAGGTATGTAATACCAATGCTAAGGGAAAAAAATGCAAATTCTAGTTTCTTATTTATTATGGTTCTGATTGGTATTAAATTGATGTGGATGGTAAAATTGCAATTGTTTTATTTTTATAGGCAAAGAGAAAGAGAGGAAATTCTGAAACATAATAGAGGACAAAGAATCAGTGTTAATTGGCACTATAAAAGGATGATTTTGGAGAAGATATGAAGTTATATTTTGTTAGGAAAAAATGATTATATTACATTCATATATTTTGCCTTTTATTAAGAAAGGATGATGATGTTTTGTCATAGCCATATAATAGGCATTTTGTGACAGTAGGTAGTATTTTCTGGTATATTTTCCTGTGTAGGTAATATTTTTTGTTATATTTTCCTGGTATATTTTCCTGTGTATGTAATATTTTCTGATATATTTTTCTGGTATATTTTCTTGTGGAGGTAATATTTTCTGATATATTTTCCTGGTATATTTTCCTGTGTATGTAATATTTTCTGATATATTTTTCTGGTATATTTTCTTGTGGAGGTAATATTTTCTGGTATATTTTCCTGTGCAGGTAATATTTTCTCCTGTATATTTTTGTGGTATATTTTCTTGTGTAGGTAATATGTTCTAATATATTTTCCTGTGTATGTAATATTTTCTGGTATATTTTTTTGGTTTCAGTTTAGATTTGTTATTTATGAGAGACATAAACAAGCAAAGAAATTATCTTTGTTATTAAAATAGTTTTCTATGCTAATCTTTGATCCACAGTGTTTTATCCTTAATCTTTTTATGCATGAAGAATTCAAATTTACAAGTTTCTATTCATTTTTAAAGTTGTTTGGGAGAACATTAGGATTTACTAAGCTGGTTCTCTCTGGAAATTTGATGAAGCATATAACTTGTATGTTCACTAGTATTCAATTTGTCTGTAAAGACATGTTGCCTTTCTGGTATTTACTGGTATAATTTACTGGTATAATTTACAGTAAACAAAATGAGAAAAGTTTACTAGTATAATCATCTCAGCATCACAGAAAAATTATAGACAGGTTGCCCTTCATGATTTGCTTTGACAGTTTAAAAAATAAGACATGTCAAGCTTTGAATTATTTCCTGTGATAGATACAATTTCCTGGTATAATGCTCACTGTTATTATTTCCATACTCATCAAAAGCAACAGGATATAAACAAAAGTATACTTCCATTCCCAATTTGCAAAATTACAATATGTTCTCATTCTATGGCAAGCAAATTTAACCCTTGATTTCTAATTACAAATTTTATCATGGCAAATAATATTAGCAGTACACAAGATACAACAATTACAAATAGTTTGCCAAAAGCTTTCTTGTTGTCAACCTTTTTCATCAAGGCATCTATTTTCTTGTCCAAACTATCAATTGCCTCCAAATGCTTATCCGTATCCAACATTTTTTGCTCCATGCCTCCAAACTTATCCCCAAAAAACTTAAACATACTCACCATTTTCTCATCCATGCTACCAAAATTATTCTACATATCCTTCTCCAGACTCTCTATTTTTCCCCCCATAACATGCATTTTGTTCATCGAACTAACAAACTCATCTTCCAAATTTTTTTCCATAGCCAGTAACTTCTTCTCCAAACTACGAATTTGATCCTGCAAGCACAGCACTATACTCTTCAACTCTAATGCAACAATCGCAGATTCTGAAATACAATTATCTCTTTTGCTGAACTTAGACACCTCAGTTCATAAATGATCCCTCTCATGCATTAGATGATACTTTTCTGATGTTAACTCTTATCAAACACAAGGTCATACCAAATAAAGAAGTCACAACTGTTCTGCAATGCAAAATTAATTCAATCATTTATACTTTGGGCAACAAACTGTTCTGTAAATACAACCAACAATCAAAATCAAATTAAAATTAAAGTTAACAACAATGATTATCAAAGTTAACACAACAGTGATTACCTTCTCCTTATACTTTGGGCAACCAAAAAATCTTCTTCCGGCATTAGCTTCCGTCCAACAAGTCCACCGTGGAGCAAAATGCCCACACTTGCAAGTTCGTGGACGACCTTCATAATCCCACTCAATATTGCATCTACTCTCAAAATATGGTAATTTTCATTAGCGATTCAGAGCTCGACGAATAAGCCATTCTCGCTAATGAAAGGACAAAGAGGGGAAGAAGATGATAGAAGTTGGAAAATGAAATAAAACCCTAAATATCCTCAAAATATGGTAATTTCACAAAAGATTTAGAGTTTGACAAAGGACCCATGCTCAATGAATTGCAAATCTTGCTAAAAAGGTTCAATTTTTAAAACACGAAGAGGGGAAGAAGATGATAGAAGCTGCCAAACAAAATAAAAGCCTAGATATCCTCAAAATATGGTAATTTGATAGAAGATTCAAAGCTTGACGAAGAACCCCATGCTTGATGAATTGCAAATCTGGGTTTTGAAAGAATGAAGAGGGGAAGTAGACAAAAACGATAGAAGCCGATCCCGGAATCCCTAAATCCCCAATTTTATTCCCTAAACATTTTAAGGGTATAAAAGTAATTTTGGTCTAATCTGTTGATTTTAAGTGATTTGTCCAGGTGTGCCCTCCACCTTAGCATCCATCTCAGCCAAAAAATGGCCACGTCAGACACGGAGGAAAGGTTGATGAACGGAATGTTAAATATTAACGGAAATGTGAAGAGAAAGGCTGATTTGCCACTGCAGGGGAGTTGAGGGGTTGATTTGCGCGTAAAGTGGGTTGAGGGGGTGATTTGCGCGTAAAGTGGGTTGAGGGGGTGATTTGCCACCAGTTGTTGAGTTTAGGGGCTGATCTGCACCTTTTACCTAAGTAAAAGGCGCACCCTTGACGTAAGGGCTTACGTAGTTACATGACAACATTCATTACAACATTCATTACGTGTATTTTGTTCCAGAGTCGTACTATC